AAAAAAAAAGAAAAGAAAACTGCTCAAGTGCTCCACAACCAGAACACAACACTACTATGAGGGTGGTATGGCTAAGTGGACTTCAGTGGTTTCTTGATTCTCCTCCCACTGCTCTAAACCTTCTGGTCAGAAGGCGGGGCTGCTTCCACCCCAGGGCCTTTGTGCCTGCTGTCCTGTTTGAGGCCCTCTTCCCTTGGCCATACCTGTGTGGATTACTCTCTCATTCCTTCAGGACTCTGCCCAAGGGCACCTCCTCAGGAAGGCCTCCCTGACCCCGTTGCCCTCTACCTCATTTTTCCTCACAGCACTCGCCACTACTTGACGCTCTAATGCCTACTTACTGATCTCTCGCAGGTTTCCCCTCCTCGAAGGTAAGCTCCCATCCTGCTTTACTGTTGATTCTCCAGCACTAAGACGAGTACCTGGCACACATGGGTGCTCAGTCAGTCTTTGCCAAACCCAAGTCTCATTCAGATCCCATCCTAAAGTGATACGTAGATGTGTCCCTCCCTCTGGAGCCCAAGAAGGAGCCACCAGCAGGAGCCTTGCTGCTGCCACCACCGACAAGGATGACCATGACAACAGGAGCTGCACTCACTGACAGGAGCTGTTCTCAGGGCTTTATGCTGGTTAGCTGACTTCATCTTCTTAGCCAGTCAGTGCGGCACCAGCATTACCTGTTTTCCAGGTAGGGGGACCGAGGCAGAATTTAGTGAGTTGTCCAAGGCTACACAGTGAGAGTCGGAGCTTCTGTTTAGCTTCTGGTCAAGTGCTCGGTGCTCTGGGGTGGGGAGAGTCAAGGCCTCAAGGAAGGGCCTCGAGGAGCGCTTCTTCATGACTCCCAGCCGCTCGTGGCCTCCTCCCTGGGACATGGCCTGTGAGTGAGGTCTCTTAGTACTCCCTGACTCCACAGCTGCCTTTGTCCCTGGGCTCCTGAGCCTAGATTCTCTTCATTTCAAACAAGAACTCCTCAGCAAGAAACCTCCCCAGGGCCACTAGCTGTTTCCAGGCATCTGGGAGCCCCCACTCACCACGGGCCTTTCAGCGTCCTTTGTGATGACAGAATTATCCTGAGGTATTTCTGGACCTGGACTTTAGCCCAGCCTCTTACTTAAACACATAACAGCTTCTGTTCCTGCCGGCACTGGAAAGCCAGTCCCATCAGGCCAGGGACTCTCACCTCTGCAGGGAGGGAATGTGCTGCCTGTTCTCTCTGGACAGCCTGAGCTGGCGGCTCAGATTCTGAGGCAGTGGAGGCATCTGCTTCTAGAAGCTTCTGGCTGTGGTACTGCCCTAGCTGGAATCCCAGGAGAGTCTCACACCCAAAGTGGGGCTGTGGGAGCTCTGTAGGACGTGGTGATCTCGCTGGTGAGGACTGACCTCAGGCTACTTCTCAGGGACACTGGTTGGGAGTCCTTTGAGCATGACTTCAGAGGGGCTGAGGGTGTCCACCTCTGCCCTGCCTGCCCAAGACAGTTGTAAGGATGGCAAGCCACCTACCCAGGTCGGCATCAGTGCTCTTCTTCATGTCTTTCTGTAGCCTCCGTGTCTGCTCTTCCAGCCTGCAAGGCAGAGGACAGGCTGCTTTGGGCCCCGTTCTTTCCCTCTACCGAGCTAAGCCCAAGTGGATACTCTGGAATGTCTGCCAGGGAGAAGGGGCCCTTCTCCACAGGGACTTCTTCCACTGAATGAAGTGCCACTACAAGCTCTGTGTGAGGCCAGACGCCCAAAGGCTATGAGTTAACGACTCTCACACGGCCATCTGCTGGGGGCAGCTTCTGGCAGCTTGGCGACCCGGAGCTGCCCTTGGCTCCCAGGATGCTAACGGGACAAGAGCAGCCTGCTGAAGGGCAGTGAGCAGATGAGGCAGGCTGGATGGAGACCTGGCAGGAGGCGTTGCCCCTCCCCGACTCCCGCCTCATCCTTCTGGGGTCTGACACTCACTGCTGGAGTTTTCCATACTCCCTTTCAAAGTCTCTCTCCACCTGCAACAAGAGAGATAACTCAATCATCGGAGAAGTGACAACGCGGTGGAAAAAGTCTCCCAGCCTGATGCAGCTCTCTCCACACCCTCCCCCGCCTGCAAACAACCCCGTCCAGTTCACACAAGCACCAGCAGCTCATTAATGACACAGTACCCCTGTGTTCCCAAATTAATTAAGTGTCTGATTTAGGGAAGAAGGCTCCCGCCCAGTGGGCCAGGCTGGCAAGCGTGGCAGATCAAGGCTCTGCTCTTTTCCCTGGGAGTCAGGCGCTAGCTGTGCGCCCTCCTCTCTGCCTGGGCAGTCAAGGTGCTCAGAGTGTCACTGGCTCTCGGGAGGCAGTGGGGCGCAGAGGAAGAGGGCGGGTCTGGAGCTAGGGCTGTCTCTGCCACTTACCAGCTCGAGACCCAGGCAGGTCACCTCCTTTCAGGCCTTGCTTTCCTCGTAGGGCCACCTGCCTACTGCCAGGCTCGAGGTGGATGGGGAAAGGCTGGTATCAGACTTCTCCAGTGCCAGGGACACTGACACCGAACGGGTGAGTTCCGAAGCAAATGTTGCCACTTGCAGTGGAAGATGGAGTTAAGAAAGTCTAATATCTTCCAACACCTGAACTTTCCTATTTGTAAAGTGGAGCCTCAAAATGGAGTCTCACAAAGCCAATGACGCCTGAGAGGCAGATGAAGAGGACTAGGCTAGAGGCCTCTCTTTCTGGAGGCAGTCCCAGCTCCCTGGCCAGAGCAGCAGCCGTCGGAGGATGGCCTGCTAGACCTCTGATCTGAGTTGCTGAGAAGTCAAAAGCACTAACACATTTCCACAGCGCTCACTACGTGAATGGAGATCTCCGTGATGTATCCCTGAGGTGGGTGGAACCTTCACGTACTGACAAGATCACCAGGACAGAGGCTAATTACCCTGCCTAAGGTCACACCAATGTGTAGAGTCTGAGCACAGTGGGAACTGAACCCAGGTGGCCTGGCTCCACTGCCTTTACTCATAAATGTAATTCTACCGAAAGGAAAAAAGATGTCTACTGCGACCTAAGAAAGAAGCCTTCCTGGCTGTTCTCTGAGACTCTTGCCACTGAGAGCCCTAGATCCCGACTCACGTGCGCCTCAGGCTGAGGGTCAGAGAGGGCCTGTTTACAGACACTGACCAAGCTAAACTGCTCCCACCACCACTGCCTTCCAGCAGCACTGACCTGATGAGTGTATTCTAAGCTGGTTGACCTCAGCACTCCTCGTTTGGGTTTACATAAATTCAACACAGTCCCAGAACGACAGAACAGTTCTCATGTTACAAGCTAGAAGCCTGGAGCCCAGAGAAGAGAGTGATTTCCTCAGGGACATGGGGCGAATTAGCAACAGAGTAAGGCTAGAATCCAGACTCCTAGTTCAGGTCTTTTTCTTTTTCTTTTTTTTTTTTTTTTTGAGTTGGAGTCTCACCTGGTCGCCCAGACTGGAGTGCAGTGGCCGCTCCCGGCCACCACAGCCTCGACCTCCTGGGCTCCGGCGATCCTTCCGCCTCAGCCTTCCGAGTAGCCGGAATTACAGGCACGCGCTACCACGCCCAGCTAATGTTTTGATTTTATTGTAGAGATGAAGTCTCGCCTACCCAGGCAATCCACTCACCTCAGCCTCCCAAAGGCACGGGATTACAGGCTGAGCCACCGAGCCCGACTCTTTTTCTTTTTCAAATTTAAACATTCATTCCTCCCACATGCATTTATTGAGCACCTACTAAGTGTGATGCATTCTGCCAGCTGCTGCTGGGATACCCTGGTAACCAAAACAGACCTGTGCCTCCTGGTGGGAGAGATAAACAACAGACAGATCTACATATAACTGCTAACATGGTGGGCTCTATGGAGGGCAGGGGCAGAGGGAATGACACAAACAGCCCTCAGGGCATGACAGTCTCCCTTCCATGGAGATAGGGAGACAGTTGTGCCTTCCTCATTTGAACCATGCAATTTGGAGGCAGGAAAACATGGTCTTTTTTCTCACTTGATGATCCTAGCATCTAGAACCTTACATTAAATTATGAAGTAAATTCACCATGGGTGCTCCAGCCTCCCATCCCGCAATCTTTCTTTCTCTTTTCAGCAAACTGACTATTTCTCCACCCAGGAACCCAGTATTTTCATCGTCACCTTCCTTAGGAGCCAGCAAAAGTCACTCTTAAAAAAAAAAACCTTCAAAATTCACTCCTACTTAAAGCACATATGCTTGATAAGAGTTTAAGTGTTACGTATACCCAGAGGATTTGCAGTTTGCAGGAACCAAAGCCTTAGCTAAAGGCTAATGAAAAGGCTCCAGCGCAATTGCAGGTAGATTTGTTTTGGGGTGAAGGAGACTCGCCAGGCCCTTGAAAGTCTGCACTTTGGTGCAGTTTTAGTCCTTTCTCCAGCAGGGCTGTGGAGGAATATGAATCAGAGGAATGAGCAGGAATAGGGAAGACATGAACTCTTATACTGGCTGTGGAGCCTTAAAATAATGCCTAGCATTTCTGAGCCTCAGTTTCTTTTCAGTAAAATGGGATAATGTCATTTAGTCACACCCTATATAAATTTTAGGTGGCTTACAAGGAAATAGTTTTTAACAATGTCAGCCTGGGGGGAGGGGGATAAATAACAATGTCAGCCTTGGTGGCTTGTTTTGAGGATTAAGGGGCAATGCCTGTAGAGCATGTCACAAGGTGTCTGGCCCATACCAATGCTCACTCAGTGTTCATTTCCTTGTGCCTCTCCTGCTTGCCAGGGTACTGGGAGAAGCAGAGTGGGCTGGGGCTGAAGGCTGGGTTGAAACCCTCTAGCAAAGAGGAGTCGCTGCCCCAAGCACACAGGAAACAGGTAGTTAGGGAGCCCCGGCTTTGGCTAAGTGTGGAGTCCTGGGTACTGTGACAGTGCTCTAGGTACATCTCCTTTTTTACCTCGTGAGATGTGACAGCTGAGCAGCATCTTTACATACTAAAGTATTTATTTCCAGAGAGACAAAGCATTTATTGGCCAGAATCAGGCTCTCCTAGAGAGATAACACACAGTAGGTGCTCTGCTGGAGGGGAGGCGCGAGCACATGCTGAACTCCAGCGCCACAGCCTCCGGCCCTCGTCCTCTCTTTTGCAATGCCCCGAGTATGCTGATATGTGTGTGGGATGTCAGAGAACACCTGGCCTCCATGGCTGGGGACTGCATGGACTTGCACAGGGAGGGACTTCAGGTTTCCAACTAGGCTGGATCATTTTGGAAGACTGGAAACTCAAAGTCTCACAGTGGAAGCTGAACAGCAAGACAAGGGTGGGGGTGGGTGTGCTCTTTCTACTTGATGCCGCTCAAGGCCATCTGACAGCTGACTTCAGCTCCCTGCTAGACAGGGGTGGGGGCTACAGTGCACTGGTCCCGAAATATTGCTCCTCTACTGGAGAAAGACTCAAGAGGGGCACTGCCAGAATTCCAGTCCCTTAGATAATGGCTCTGGGAATAAGGGGACATACTGGAGCCTCATTCCAAGGTGCATGCATTCTGAGGAAAAGAGCCAAACAGGAAAGATCTGAACATCTTTGAATGCTTGATGCCTTTGCCAAAAAGGCAATTGGACCCCAGTCAACAACACAAGTATAAACACATGTGTGTGGACTGTCAGGGGACCAGGACGGGCTGCGCCAGGCTGGCGAGGTTAGTGCAGGGAGAATCAAGCTCCAGGCACTACCCTTGGCTGCTCCCTGCATCCATTCCCCACAGCTGGGGTGGGAGGGAGGGGCTGTGCTGTACACGGCTCTCTCCGCAGTGCCTAGGTCAGGCCCTGGCACTGCGCAGGAACTCAGTATCTGTTCAATGAATGAAGAGGCTCAGTTCCTACCCAAACTCACACTCATGGTGAGGTGAAAAAGGAAACCATCAGGCAGGCCGGGCTCTGATCCCAGGGCTGAGCAAAGTTGCAGCAGCTCAGAACCCTCAGCATCCTGGGAAGTCCCTCCTTCAAGGGATGCTCTGGGCTCCCCCTCCATATGACCCAACGGGATTAGGGAAGATTAATGAGCCTGAGGCCTTGCCACTTGGCATGTGAAACTCCTTCTCAAGTGGAGCGGTTGTGTGGCCGGACTCTTCCTGCCCTGACTTCGCAGAGTGCCCATCTGGCGAGGAATCTCGGTGTGTGCTTTCCTTGTGCACAAGACCCAGGGTAACCCTTGCTTTGGAGGCACAGGTAGAACGCAGCTTCGAAGAGCTCTTCCACCCTCCAGGTAATGCAGGGAAGTGCGGCTGCTTCTCTCACCACTGAGATGCTCCAGCCACTTTATGGGCCTGGGGAGCAGGAGGGGAGTAGGCGGAAGTTTAGGATTGGGAGGGGGTGTCTTTGTACTCGGGTCCGATGGTCAGCCTCAGCAGAGAACACGCCATTCCAGCCAAAGCCTTGGCAATAATGGAATGTGCGTTAATAACCTGGGCAAGCCGGGCTCAGTGGCTCAGCCTGTAATCCCGCGCCTTTGGGAGGCTGAGGTGAGTGGATTGCCTGAGCCCGCGGGTTCGAGACCTGCCTGGGCAGCGAGACCTCATCTCTACAATAAATCAAAAAATTAGCCGGACTTGGTAGCGCATGCCTGTAATTCCGGCTACTCGGAAGGCTGAGGCGGAAGGATCGCCGGAGCCCAGCAGGCGAGGCTGCGGTGGCCGGGAGCGGCCACTGCACTCCAGTCTGGGCGACCGAGTGAGACTCCAACTCAAAAAAAAAAAACAAACCAAAAAAAAAAAAACCTGGGCATAGGCCGGGCTTGGTGGCTCAGCCTGTAATCCCAGTACTTTAGGAGGCTGAAGTGAGTGGATTGCCTGAGCCCACGGTTTGAGAACCCCCTAGGCAAATTGGTGAGACCTCATCTCTACAATAAATCAAAAAATTAGCCGGGTGTGGTGGCATGCGCCTGTAGTTCCAGCTACTTGGAAGGCTGAGGCGGAAGGATCACCGCAGCCCAGCAGGTCGAGGCTGCGGTGGCCGGGAGCGTGCCACTGCACTCCAGCCTGGGCGACAGAGTGAGACTCCAACTAAAAAAAAAATAACCTGGGCATAGGAGAACAGTGAGGGTGAAGACACAATGCTTTCTTTGTGTCTGACAGTTGGGTGCCTTGAGCCAAAAACCTCCTGAAACTCCCTGAAGATAACATGAGCATTTCTTCCCATGACAGGGGCACCATGACTTCCAGTAACCCAGGCAGCCACATCTGCTGCCCTCCCTGCAAGTGCCTGGGCAAGAACAACAGAGTGCGTCACCACTGTTCGGGGGCAGCTGCCAGAGATACTGAGACAACTGTACAGCCCAGGCCTGTTTTCGGAGTGAAGGGAGGGTAGGGTGAGAATGAGACTAAAGAGGCAGGGTCTTGCTACATATACTCCAGTGCCTCTGGGGTGTGAGGGTATAAGCCAAGGAAGCTCCACTCTAAGCTGTAGCTCGGTTGAGATTCCTTGTGAGAGATCAAAGGCCCAGTTGATGACTTCACTGCATCGGGGTATCTAACTACTTGGGACAGGCTGAGTCCTTGATGGCTCACAAAGTGAGTCAAATCAAGCAGTTTCCTGTAATGTAGCTGATAGTTACTGAGGGCTCAGTATGTGCCAGACCAGACACTGCGTTAAGTGCCTCATATGTAGCACCCTGTGTGAGCCTCATGAGACATCTGTGACACAGGGTCTATTATGTCATTTTACAAATGAGAAAATGAAGGCTAAGGTTAAGGAGGTTAAGGAACGATCCCAAGGCCACAGCTTGCATATGGCAGAGCCAAGAGAGATATCCAGGCTGCCAGCCCGACTTCTTAACTCCTACAGTATTCTATTTGCAGGAGCAGATGCCATAAATGGAGGGCCCCAACTCCATCACCAATGAGACAGAGACAAGGAAGAAGAGAGGAGGTCGTGTGCATATCTGCCCTTTCCTGGAAGTCCTTACCTCTCCTCAGATTAAGGGACCCAGAGATCTTTCTGTCTATAAACTCTGGCAAACAAGTGGGGAACTGCATTCTAGCCTATACTTTTCTGTGGAGAACAAAGGACATTTCGATAAATGTTAGGGTGCTGGGAGAGTTTTCTGATTGTTTGCCTGTTTTTTGTAGTGAGCATTGGGAATAAAAGACCCTTCTCAAAACTACTTCCCTTTCAGCTCTGCCATGAATTAAACTCTGGAGACTCAAAGCCACACCTTCCCACTTCCTGCAGCCAGGGAGAGCCCAACATTTGCACACCCAGATTCTTTGGGCTTCGGCTGAGGGCCTCCGCAGATGGTCAGTCTCTGTATGGGAGGTAAACGCTGAGTCAACCAGCAACCTGCCTTTGCATGAAGTAAGGACGGTTCTTTTAACTCAGGCCCATTTCCTTTCAAGTGACCTAGATGGGGCCATTGGTCAGATGTGTGCCAAACTTCCCACCAAGCTCAAGTAATATCTTTCCTGTAGTTCTGAGAGCTCAGCCAAGGAGAGAAGACGTTAGTAAGACAAAGAGCACTGTTAAGGGCTGGGATGATAGAGACAAGGGCCTCCACCATATGGACAGTGCTGGGCCTTCTGGGGTTGCCACATGAGAGAGGCTCTGCAGCTGTGGTCTCCCATGTTAAAATGAAGAGACCACTCATACTGCTGCTGAGGGAGGTGAAGAGTCTATTCTGAACTAGAATTCCAAAACCTAGGAGATCTTCATGGCCCGAGGCAGCATAAAGCAAGGGAAAAAGTACTGACCAGAGGCTCAAACCTGAGTTCTAATTCCAGTTCTGGCAGTGTAGGGTTTTTATAGCCTTAAAAAGTCCCAGAAACTCCATGGGCTTTGCATTCCTCATCAGAAAAATGCAGGAGGTTGGACTAGATGATCTCTGTGGGCTTTCAGTTCTAACCTTCTAAATCTGATTCTCTTCCTCTCCTATTCTGAAGATAAAATAAGACTAAAAACTGCAGGCTTTAAAAAAGGGTGGGGTCCACCTAGGGCATCTAGAAAAACTTCCTGATCTTTTCTGCAGCTAAGTGCCAGAAATAAAGGCCTGGCCATGTTTCTGGCGGGGGTCTATGTTTCAGGAGCCTCTTAGGAAAAGTGTAGCCCAGGCCAGTGCCCAGAGGTAGACTGGTCAGAAGTAGTACCTTCCTCTACATCTGTGTAATCTATCTCTTCCACCTGCCCAAGGACGGGGAGAGTCCAGGTCGACCTGGGGGGGAGGGAGGGGGGACGTACTCAGGAAAGGAGAACCTCCAAGCCCATCTACGCAAGATTCTAGATCCACATGAGTGGGAATGGGAATGAGGCCGAGGCTGCTGTCTTCCCAGCCTCAAGACATGTTGGGTCAAAGCTCTGGTTCTATGCAAAGGCCATGTGACACAGAACTAAGTCTCCAAGTGAAACAATCGGGTTACTCACTGTTTTGGGAACAATCTGTTTCTTGGGCTGCCCAATCTTGAAAGGAATCCTATGAGAGAAAGAGATAAAGAGGGCAACTGTGAGAAATGGGAAGGATGTGGTAGAAAGAATAGCTGCAGTAACTGGCTGAGGAAGAGTGGCAGTGGCTTGCTACCAGTACTATGTACCCTGGTAGGTGAAGGACCATCAGTACCGGGGTTTGTTTCTAGGAGAGAGAGAGAGACCTTCCCATAGATAATATCAGACAGGTTCTTGGGCATTGCCTTCTGCCCCAGAGTGACTGTCATTGAAATACATTGAAAAAGCCAGATGTGGTGGTTCACGCCTCTAATCTGAGTACTTTGGGAGGCAGAGATGAGAGGATTGCCTGAGCCCAGGGGTTTGAGATCAGCCTGGGCAACTTGGCGAGTCTCTAGAATAAATCAAAAAACTTAGCTGGGCATGGTGATACACATCTGTAGCTCCAGCTACTTGGAAGGCTGAGGTAGAAGGATCGCCTGAGCCCAGCAGGTTGAGGCTGTGGTGGCTGTGAGTGTGCCACTGCACTCCAGCCTGGGCGACAGAGTTAGACTCCAAATCTAAATAAATAAATAAAAAGCAAGAGCAGGAGAGGGGAGGCACTGTGTGAATAACAATCACTAAAACCTTGTGTCTAGAGGAGCAGCAAAGTCAGAAATTACAGACTCACTGTAACAGCTATCATCTGTGAAAACACCACTGAAATCACCTGTGGTCTATATAGGTGCTTTGCTACTTCTCTATAAGAGGGACAAACTGTGGATCAGTAGAGCATCTTGGGAGGCTGGGGAGAGAGGACAAATTACAGGGACACTGATGACTGACCAGGTTGGGTTATTTCCCTCAGAAGACTGACAGAATTCAAATGCAGCTAACTTGGAGAAGAATCTGAAACCCAGCGTTAAATCTGCCTTGGACTTGCTTTGAAGCTATGAGCCTCAGACTCCCACTTTGAAATGGAAGACAGCTTGGCATAACAGAAGGAAGGTCATGAGTAGAGGAGTCCAAACTCGAGCACCAGCCCAGCCTCCACCTCCAGCATGCGGGTTCTGCTCCAGCAGGTAACCACTGCACTGGGACATCATTTCTTACTCTGTGAAATGAGTAGATTAAAAAAGACCATTGAGAGGCCTCCCCAAGACACTGAACATTCTATGATTCTCCAATTCTAGAAGGAAAAGCGCAGCAGCCAGGCTAGAAAGCCAACACAATGCACCCCAGTAGCTCTAGAAAGGGTAGGCTCCCCACCCCAGGTAGGACCTGTGCCCAGAACCCCTGGGGACAAGCTCTGGAAGAAGCTCTCAGTCAGCCATGCTTACTACTCTGCTCTCTGGAGTGGGCAGAGGCTCTTCAGTTCAAACCTCCCGCTCCAGGCTGTACCAGACCCAGCTTACCAGCCCCTGGCCCCACCCTTCCCTCCACATCCCCTCCTCCCTGAGCCTGCCTTTGTTTGGCCCCAACTGACCAACGCACTGTTGCTAAACCCAACGGTATAATTAACCACCGATAATAACCCCAGACAACGATCCGGTGGAGGGGATGGGCCAGTCTGAGTCACAGTGGTTTAAATTTAATTTCTGGAGGACATCCTGTTTATTGTCAACCCAGTCCCATAATTTGGGAGTGTTAACCCTTTGGGGGCTGGCCGAGTCACGTGGCTTCTGTAGACAGATACTCTCTGGCTATATAATTACCAGGGGAGAAAGGTAAAGTATGGAACTGAAAAGGAAAGAAAAAATGACATTGTGATTTCCCTTTCTCAGACTTAAAGAGGAAAAGTTCAAGAAGAGGAAAAGTTCAAGGGGGGAATGACTTCTCTCCCCAAGCCCAGTCACATTTCCCACAATCGGGAATTGGAACTGACGGACACAGGCTTTGGAAAGCAAACAAGTGCCCTCAAGAATATTCTGGAGACAGAACACATGAGGTCTTGGTGGCACTCCAGAGAGATGGGCCATATTCTGTGAGTGGCACACTGCAGTGGAAGGAGCTCTCGACCTGGTGTCAGAAAACCTGGCCTCTGCCTCTGACCAGTTTTGTGATTTTAACAAACCATAATCTCTCTGGAGCCCAGTTTCTTAAACCATGAAACAAAGGAGTTGGAATCCCTTTAGCTTATCTAAAACTGGAAATCTAAATTGAATCTCCAATCCAAGAATATGGGGAGAAAGATGAGAATTCTAAAGAAGGCTCAGAGTGATCTTCAAAATGACTCTTGCAGTCTAGTACCACTGACTAGGGACCAATAAATTAGGAACACAGATTCCATTATTTGTGGTGCCACCGCCTCTCTCTAAATCTTAATTTAGAATCACAGTATTTTTAGAACTGCAAGTTACCATAGAAATTTTTTTCCAGTTCAACCCTCTCATACTGTAGATGAGGAAGCAGATCCAGAGAGCTTCAGTGACTGGCCCAGGGTCACTCTGCTGGTTTGCAAGAGAACCAGGACTAGGTAACCAGGGACCCTGGTTTCTGGCCCAGTTTTCTCACTGCTATCCACAGTTCAGTAATCTTTTCACACAAATCTGTGAAACATATTTAATCAAAATACCCAGTCTTAAAGTAGTACAGAATTAGTGGGGTTCATTGCTGTTTAAGAGCCTGGCAATGAGAGTGGAGAGCATCTGTGCTAAACTGGGTGCCCTGGCACAAGTGAGGTCATGTACACTGGCAGATGGAGTCAGGTCTCTCCCTGTATTTCCGCCACGGTACTGACGATCACAGACAACTTCTTTTCAACTCGCCTGCTCAAAAGCCCAGCTGCTATCTGCTAGAACACCTTTAGAAAAATAAACTTTGTATTTAAAAGCTTTAGATTACCAAAAAAATTGTGAAGAAAGGATATAATTTCTCTCTCCCTTGCACTCAGTTTCCCTTTATTGACATTAGTATATTGACATCAGTGATACTAGTATGGTACATGTGTCACACTTAAAGAACCAATATGGATATATTCAAGACTTGATGCAGATTTCCTTAGTTTCCCCCAGTGTCCTTTTTCTGTTCTAGGATCTCACCTGGGACACCAAATTAACTGAGTCATGTTCCCTTAAGCTCCTCTTGGCTGTGATGGTTTCTCAAACTCTCCTTGATTTTGATGATCTTGACAGTCTTAAGGAGTGCTGGTCAGGCATTCTATGGAACACCTTCAACTGGGATTTCTCTGATGTTTTTCTCCTGACTAGACAGGAGTTATGGATTTTGAGAAGATCACCGAGCTGAAGGGCCATTCTCATCACATCATATCAAGGGGACACACTATCAACATGACTTATCCCTACTGATATTGACCTTGAACACCAGGCTGAGGCAGTCTTTTCCAGGTGTTTCCACTATAAAGTCACTCCCCATCCTTTCTTTCCATACCGTACTCTTTTAGAGGAAGCCACTATGCCGAGTCCTATTTGTTATTTATTCAATCATTCAACATGAACTCATAGATGACCAAGGTTAATATTTTGGTGCTGTTAGTTATATTTTTAAAATTTTCAGAAAGAAAAACAACTAAAGCAAATATGCCAAATGTTAGTAGTGGTTAATTCTGGGTGGTGAGAATATGATTACTGTTTTCTTCTTTGCACTTTCCTTTTTTTTTTTTTTTAATGAACCAAAAAAACTCCTTCAGTTTTTTTTCCTTGACTACAAAAAAATAGCAAAATACCAGTGTTAAAAACCTGGAAGAAGTGGAAAAACACAAAAGACAAAACACACACACATAAACCCCAAAGGAAAAAAATAAACAGTAATACCCTGAATCACAGTGTGTACATGTGTGTGCATGTGCACATATATTTACATAATCTAAAAAAGTATAAAGAAAACATATATCATGAATGTCTTTATATGCCAATATATGCTTTTCATCATTCTAATTTTTAAGAGGTACAGAAATAAAACAAGTGGTACAGGTGTATAGTGAAAACATACCACTCACTTTATTTCTATAACTACATGTTTACTGTTAGTCATCTCAACTGTCTCAAATTTTTTTTCTATTATAAACAAAAACTCTAAAGCTAAATCTAATAGCCAAATTTTTGTGCACACCAAAGATTCATTAGTCACACAAGATCAATTCTCGGAACTGGAATTGCTGGGTCAAAAGATACATACACGTTCAAGCTTTGATACATTTTGCTAAACTGCCCTAGAGACACATTAAAACAGTTAACATTTTTAGAAAGATTGAAACAGTTTACATTTTACTGCCTGCCCTTTGGCTTGTATATCAGGGTTCTTTTCCTGGATTAGTGTTCGACTTTCTCTTTTGTACCTATTTGTGTTTAATGCACAGAAACTTTTGATTAGTATGAAGTGAAATCTACCAAATCTATCTTTTCATTTGTGATTTCTTCCTTTGGTGTCATACCAAGAAAGACTTGCTCCCTCTATCCTGACAACTTATAATTATTCATCCATATTTACTTTATTACTTTTTATGACTGCCTTTTATTAATCTAAATTTAACTTGTTATCAGAGTTATACATGTGCATAGTTTAACAAGGCGACATAATTTCTGAAGTAAAACATTATTTCCTAGGACCCCCTCATTTGCCAGAGAAAAACACTTCCAACTCAGTTGGTTTTTTGTTAACCTTTGCATATCTAAAGAAAAATGCCTATATTGCTACCTCATGTTAGGTTTTTAGGCACTAACTATTGACCTTTTACGTTGGAAGTAGTTACCCTATTCTACAAAGCCACACTTGCAACCTCCCTTCTCCATGCAGTTCCATTATAACTTGGTCAGATCAACAGTAAGCACATTACTAGGAGGATGTTCCACCTTGTTTTCGATTCTTCATGTGGTAGCCAGCAGCAGGTTGTTCAGCCTCAAAGTTTCAGAAGACTGCAGTTTCAGGCGATGTACTGAATCACAACCTTGTGAGAGTTCCCAAGCAAAACCCCCAAATTCCTGACCAACAGAAACTGTTTATTGTTGTTTCCAGCCACTAAGTTGTAGGATAATTTGTCACGAAGCAATACATAATTATAATACTGCATAACTGATAATTGTCACTTTTCTT